GTCTGTCCCACATTCACACTCTCTCACACCGCCTACCCCTCTCTGGAGCCAAGCACCAACCGCTACAAAAAGCTGGAGAAAGTGTACAGCGATTTCATCGTACTCACCTGCGATGGCATCAACGGCGTGAAGTACACTCTCACCTTCATCGACGCCTACTCACGTCATGTATGGGTCGCCAACGTCGACACCCGCTCCAAGGCTCCATAAATATTCCGCATCTTCCTCGCGCACGCGCAGCGCCAGTAAGGAAGGAAACTGAAGATTTGGCAGAGTGATAGGGCAAAGGAATTTCGCAGCAATGAACTGGAGAGCGTCCTCACGGAGAAGGGGATCAAGCATGAGATTTCTCTCCCCTACGCTCACCAGCAGCAAGGTGTTGCTGAGAGGGTCAATCACACTCTCATGACAAAAGTCCGTGCCATCATGAACCAGTCCGGCCTGCCAAAGAAGTTTTGGCCCTACGCCGTGAACCACGCGGTGCGCATGCACAACCTCCTCTCCACTACCGCCAGCAGGGATAACCTGTCCCCTCACATGAAGTGGACCGCCTCAAGGGGAGACCCCTCCTTGCTGAGGGTTTGGGGGTGCATGGTGCAATATCGGCCGACTTCGGACACAATCGGCAAGTTCGTTCATCGTGCGCGCTGGGGAGTTCATCTGGGGCTCAGTCACGAGCACAAAGGATGGCTCATTCTTGACATCGACAGTAACGAGATTGTTCCTGCGCGTGACATTCTCTTCTACGAGCGGCTCACCCTGAAGCAGTGGATCGAGGACGAACTCCGCAATCAGGCACGAGGCTACGCCAACAGCGGCCGCAGCTTTGCGACTCCAGAAGACGAAGCAGTAGCAGCAACACTAGACCGCGACGACACCGACGAACATCCCAGCATCCCGCCTCGCCCACACGACGATGACGATGACAGCGATGATGACCCTGTGCCAGGACCATCACGGCGCCAAGCAGAGCCAAGCACCGCAACACCCGGCTATGAAAGCGGAGACGACGACGTGGTGGAAGTCCCCATCACCACAGACACCACCAATGTGTCAGGCCTTCAACTTCTCGGCCTGCATAGATCCGTCTCTACCCTTGCACTGGCCGTGGAACCAAAGAATCCTCGCCAGGCCCTAACCGGCCCTCACGCCAAGGAGTGGCGTGCTGCGATGGATGCGGGGCTAAAGGCGCTAGAATCTCGTGACACCTAGGTCCTAGTCGATCGTGCAGCAGTGAAGGGGATGAGGGTACTAAGCGGAAAATGGGTTTTTCGTCTCAAAACCAACGCCGACGGCACTATCGAGCGCTTCAAGGCACGCTGGGTCGTGCGCGGGTACGATCAGCGCCACAGCATCGACTTTGATCAGACCTTCGCTCCCGTCAGTCGTCACACCTCTGTCCGGATTCTACTCGCCATCGCCGCCGCTAAGCACCTACCACTGCGACAGATCGACGTGAAGAACGTGTTTCTATACGCGTTGGTGGACACCACCATCTTTGTGGAGCACCCGCACACCTACGGAGAAGGTGATCCCAGGGTCTGTCAACTGAAGAAGTCCCTCTACGGGATCAAGCAAGCGCCTCGCCTCTGGCAGCAACATCTGCACAAAATCCTCCTCGAAATCGGCTTCAAGCAGCTTCCACACGACCCGAGAATGTATCGTCTTCACTTCAGTGGCGACTACATCCTCCTCACAGTCTACGTCAACGACCTGCTGTACTCGGGCACATGCAACAAACTCCTCGATCAGTTTCAGGAGAACTTGGCGCAGCGCGTGGATATCACCATCAACCTCGAAGTGAAGCAGTTTTTGGGGTTAAGCATCACTTACGCGCCAGAATCAATTCATCTGTTAGCCTCCAAGTACGCAGAGCAGCTAGGGGAACGTTTCAACATCTCCCCAGCACCACTTTCAACTCCCTATCGCAACCCCAGCACCAACTAAAAACCGGACAACAAACCACTGTCACCCGCAGGGCTCCAACTGTACCAGCAGCAATTGGGTTGCCTGCTATTCGCCTCTGTCACCTGCCGACCCGATCTTTCGTACATCGCTAGCCAACTGGCGCAGTATTCTCGCAAGCCAGTAGCTGAGAACCAGGTGGATCTGGAACGCGCCCTGCAGTATTTCATTTCCACACCTGACATTGGGCTCTCCTACTCCACGCTGACGACGACCTCCTTCAACCTCAACGGCTACGTGGATGCAGATCATGCAGGTGATCCTGCAAATCGGCGGTCCCGAAACGGCTTTGTTTTTCATATGGAACCAACTGGGCCAATCTCCTGGAACTCGCAAAAGCAGGAGCTGGTTGCCCTGTCATCGGCCGAAGCAGAATACATCGCCGCGACAGCAGCAGTTCGCGAGGGCCTGTACCTGCAGGAGCTGCTACAGGAAGCAAAAATTCCAACCTCGCCTACCTTTCGCCTTCACTGCGACAACCAGAGTGCCATCAGGATCGCGAACAAGCCATAATTCGTGAACCGTACGAAGCACATCGCACTTCGGTACTTTTTCGTCAAGGACGAAATTGACCAAGGAAAGGTTGACCTCGCCTACTGCCCAACTACTGAGATGGCGGCAGACTTCCTCACCAAACGTATGCCACGTCAGCAGTACAAGCACTGCTCTAACCTCACCGGAGTAGTCAAGCGAGTCAGCTCCACCTGCGTCCAGGAATGAAGGGGAGTGTTACGATATGAAGTTTTATGAGAAGGCATTCCTGTATGTTGCAGGAGCCGACTCTACCGAGTACGAAGTCGAGGAGTCAGAAGAGTCGAAGCGTCGCGGCAATCGCATGACCAAGACCGATGCAGACAGAAACATTTGAAGTGGAAAGAGCGGGAACAGGTTCAAAAACGGGTTCTCGCGCCGCACTGTTTGAAATTGCTCTAATAAGAGAATGTACCCCTTAGAGTACATGGCTAGCCTAGGTCTTTTCGTATTCCCCTGTATTCTTATATAAACCCGATGTATGCATGGTATTATCAACTCAGTCATTTACATTCACTCTGACCTGAGATTCAAACTTCCGTTGCAAACACAACTCTGCGATCAACCCTGAGCGATCCTTCGCTAAGTCCCCTTTGGGATTGTAACACTATGTATTAATTGAATGACCTTTTAACACGCGATTATCCCACAAAAATGGAGAAAAGAAATAATATATCAAAAACAGAAAGCTAAGGGGACTGCGCTCTTTCCAGCGCAGCCATAAAGTCGTCTTTGGCGACTTGAGGTGGCAAAATTTTCCCAAGCGCTATGAAACAACAGACGCAAACACGCTCAGCAAAACAACCAAGGAAGTTGCCTTGGCGAAGTAAGAGCAGTAGCGGGAACCTAAGCAGTCTCAACAACACGATTGCTCTCAGCAGCGGGATTGTCTTCAGGAAGGGAATTATCATCTGCTATAAATTCTTCATCCGAAAGGAAGTCTTCCTCATCATCAGTAAGAAACTCCTCGTGCAGTGCCAGCACTGCATAGATAGCCATGGCAGAAGCTTGTAGAACTATGTTCTGCCACATCATGAAGGCCATCATCATGAAGCTTAGAAATTTTGCTTCTTTGCGACGCCTTGATGATAAAGACAGGCGTTCTATATCGGCCATGAATTCGTTGAATGTTTCTCTCATTATCTCAGTATGAATCGCATTTTTCTCTTTGATTCTGTCGGACATCAGTGTCATACCCCGCATGATCTCGTCCCCGCGCTGTTGCCCAGTGCGCGACCTGGGTCGAGTCCTTGATCGACTTCCTGTGGGATTAATGAACAATCACGATTATGCATTATTTTTTTGTTTGTCTGAAACCTGCAGGGATATCATGGTAATGGATATTGAGGAAACAAATAAAGCAATTAGCAGCACATGAAAATGCGTGAAATTCGTACATTACTAAGTATTAAAGGAGTTGACGACGAGTCCGCTCGCGGTGAACTAGCTGTCAAACTCATATGCTATAGTCTGTGTAGGCTGTAGTGGGGTGGAGAATATGGGTTACAATACTTTTAGGTTTTCCTACTTGTACCCACCTGCTTGCTAGTTCATTCATTTTCCTTGTTCTTTCACATGGTATAGAGCAGGTTCCCTAGTGGGAACTTCCTAGGGCCCACCACTGAAAATCGACTTTTTTCTGACCAAAGGGCGAGTCCCCCGTGCCCGAGGCGCGCCCCTTGGGCCGCCCTCTTGTCGAGCCCTCCTAGAGGCCCCTCTCACGACCCCTCGCGCCACCCTTAGCGTCCCCGTCGCCACCCCTAGCGGCCCCGTCGCCGCCCTTCTATGCCCCTCGAGGCCCCTTCGCGGCCCCGTCGCCGCCCCTAGCGGCACCGTTGCCGCCCTTCCAGGCCCCTCGCGGCCCCTTCGCGGCCCCGTCGCCGCCCCTAGCGGCCCCGTCGCCGCCCTTCCAGGCCCCTCGCAGCCCCTTCGCGGCCCCGTCGCCGCCCCTAGCGGCCCCGTCGCCGCCCTTCCAGGCCCCTCGCGGCCCCTTCGCGGCCCCGTCGCCGCCCCTCGCGGCCCCGTCGCCGCCCTTCACGGCCCCGTCGCCCCCCCCCCCCCCTCGCGGCCCCGTCGCCGCCCTTCGCGGCCCCGTCGCCGCCCTTCGCGGCCCCGTCGCCGCCCCTAGCGGCCCCTGTCGCCGCCCTTAGCGGCCCCGTCGCCGCCCGTTGCGGCCCCGTCGCCGCCCCCCCTTTCGGCCCCTCCCTGGCCCCTTCTCTGCCGAGTCGCCGAGCCGGCAAGCAGCCCAACAGCCGAGCAGCCGAGCCGCCGAGCCGCCGAGCCGCCGAACCGCCGAGCCGCCCAGCAGCCGAGCCGCCCAGCCGCCAAGCAGCCGAGCCGCCTGCAGCCGAGCCGCCGAGCCGCCAAGCCGCCGAGGCCGCCGTCGAGCCGCCACTACCACTGCCGAGCCGCTACCACCGCTGTTGCAGCCCTGTTCCTCCCGGCGCACCCCGGCCCTACCCACCCGGACTGGTGAGAGCCCTCCCTGCTAGACCACTGTAGTCATGGCTACCCCCAGTGTCCTTACCTTTGATGCTGAGGGTCGTGCTGTTGACTTCGAGGTCTGGGTCGATGACCTGCAGCTTTTCCTACAGTGCGATAGGGTAGACGGACTCTCCCTGTTCGATCTCACCTCTGGTGCCTCTCCTGCCCCGCCTGCTGATGCTGACAGCACTATTCGCTCACAGTGGGCCACGCGCGATGCTGCTGCCCGTCTTGCTGTGCGTCGCCACTTACCAGCCGCTGAGCGTGCGCACTTTAGTCAGTACAAGAGTGCTAAGTGTCAGAATATTATCTTGTTGTTCTAGCCTGTAGTGGGGTGCTCTATAGCGAGTACAACCCTTCTAGGGTTTGCTATTTGTATCCTCATTCCTGCTAGTTCAACCCTCTTTCTTCCTTCTAATTTTGACATGCTATCAGAGCAGGTCAATCCCCTTGGATCGATCCTGTAGGTGTGTCCCCACCTTGCTTCCGCTGCTACTTTTTCCTCCCGCCGTGCGCCCCGAGGCGCGCGGCGGTTTTCTGCCCGCCGTGCGCCCCGAGGCGCGCGGCGGTTCATTGCCCGCTGTGCGCCCCGTGGCGCGCGGCGGGCTTCTCCTCTACGTCGCGGCCCCGCCCCGGCCCGTCGCCGCCCGTGCGCCCGCTCGACGCGGCCCCGCTCTACGTCGCGGCCCCGCCCCGGCCCGTCGCCGCCCGTGCGCGTGCCCGGCTCGGCCCCGCCCTTCGTCGCGGACCCGCCCCGGCCCGTCGCCGCCCGTGCGCGTGCCCGGCTCGGCCCCGCCCTTCGTCGCGGACCTGCCCCGGCCCGTCGCCGCCCGTGCGCCTGCCCGGCTCGGCCCCGCCCTTCGTCGCGGACCCGCCCCGGCCCGTCGCCGCCCGTGCGCCTGCCCGGTTCGACCCGCCCTACCTGTGCGGCCCCGCCCTACGTCGCGGCCCCGCCCCGACCGTCGCGGCCCCGCCCCTTGTCGCGGCCCCGCCCTACGTCGCGGCCCCGCCCTATGTCGCGGCCCCGCCCCTCGAAGCGGCCCCGCCTTACGTCGCGGCCCCGCCCCGCTCGTCGCGGCCCCGCCCCTTGTCGCGGCCCCGCCCTCCAACCAGGCTCGTGGTGGGCCCCTTTCACCACACCGCCTCCCCCCCCCCCCCCCCCCCCCCCTGCCATTTCCCGTCGTCCGTCGTGGCGACCTGAGGGGGCCGCTTGCTGTGGGGTGGCGGGTATGGGGGTGGTCGGTGTGCCTTCCTCCCTTTCTCCTCCTCCTCCTTCGTCTCCCACTGCTGCAGCTGTCGCTGAGGGGGGTGGTTGTGTGGGAGACTGGGTTTAGGGTTTAAGGGGGGTGCGTGGGAGTAGAGCTAGTGGTGTAGCAGTGGGTGTGTATCAGGGGGGTGGGACTGTGTGCGGGAGGATGAGCGGAGGTTGCCAGTTTGTCGTCAGCAGCACCTGTAGTCCGGGGCGCTGTCCCGGTAGCCCAGTCGTAGCCAGCTGTGCCAGCCGCCCGTGGGTCCGTTGCCCGTCCGCCGCTATTTGAGCCGCGGGGCCTGTTACTCCTGTAGTCCGGGCGCTGTCCGGTAGCCGCTGTGCCAGTCTGCCTCCTGTTGCCCGTGTGTCTGCAGCTTCAGCCGTCGCCTCCTGTCTCCTCTCCCCTCACTCTCCCTCCTCCTCCTCACTTGCCCGTTGTGACTACCACTAGCTTTGCTTATAATTGTGAACTCTAAACTATTTCTTCTTGACCTTGTGCTCAGAATGCGTGGTGACATTGTGATCCACCCTGAGCTTGTACTGTTTTGCCTGCTCTGCTGATTACACCCCACTTTGGCTATGGGGGTGTGTCAGAATATTATCTTGTTGTTCTAGCCTGTAGTGGGGTGCTCTATAGCGAGAACAACCCTTCTAGGGTTTGCTATTTGTATCCTCATTCCTGCTAGTTCAACCCTCTTTCTTCCTTCTAATTTTGACACTAAGACCTTGTACGACGCTGTAGTGCAGGCTACTCTTCCCCTGCCACTGCTGCTCTTAGCCGCCTCATACTGCCGTACCTGTTTCCTGACCTCGCCGCCTTTCCCACTGTCGCTGACCTCGTTACGCACCTCCGCACTAGTGACACCCGCTACCGTGCTGCGCTTCCTGCTAAGTTCTGCGCCAAGAACCCCCACCCATGTACATCACCCTCTACTACATAGTCACCCGGCTCCCTGACTCCCTTCGCTCGGTCAGGGACCACTTCCTCTATGTTTGCCCCACCACACTCACCGTTGACCTCCTCGAGGAGCACCTCCTGGCAGCTAAGAAGAGTATAGTCGATGTAGGAGCCTCTAAAGGTGACCCGTGCCCCTGTCTTTGAGGGGTGCTCCCCCTCCCCCCTTTTGCCCTTTGTTGCCTCTACTGCTGCCGTCGACTTCGTTGGCACCGAGTCGGTTGGCGCTGCGTCTGCCCCTAGCGGGCAACGCCGCACCGGCAAGGGCAAGGGGGGCAAGGGCGCTGGAGGGGCTGGCGGGGGCGGTGGAGGTGGAGGTGGAGGAGGCGGAGGGAGTGGGGGTGGTGGTGGGAGTGGTGGCGGGGGTGGGGGCTTCGGTGGCGGCGGAGGCGGCGGCGGCGGTGGCGGTGGGAGCGGAGTCGGAGGCGGTGGCGGCGGTGGCGGAGGTGGCGGCGGAGGAGGTGGAGCTAGTCAGGGTAGCTCTGCGCAGTGGGGCGGCTTAGGTGGTGGTCAGCGCCAGCAGCAGCAGCGCACTCGTGAGACCCCGTCCCCCCAGCAGCTTCGTGAGTGGTACGCTGCGCGTCAGCGAGGTGGGGGTACTGGTCCCTGTACCTACGTCCTCCGTACCGACGACCGCGCTGGTGAGCAGTGCGGGGGCTCGCACTCCACCCAGCGCTGCCTTGGCCGCCTGATGGACGCTTGGCGTCACCAGTTCCCTGACGCCACTGAGATCCCTCGCTGGGGAGAGCTGTCTAGGGCGGGGGTTGCTATCTTTGATCTTGACTATGATGCTATTCTTGCTGCCATGTATGCTGTGTCTACTAGTGATGAGGGTGACTGTTACCTGTGTGTTCCGCCTGACCGGGGCATTGAGGCTGCTGCTCTAGGTGCGGGTGAGGCTGTTGCTCTAGGTGCTAGTGCGTCTGTTGCCCCAGGTGCTGGTGAGTCTGCTCTCTCAGGTACCACGTCGGCTCAGGCCTTACACACCTTCACCCTTGACTCGGGTGCTTCCCGCTCCTTCTTTCGAGACCGCACCACGCTTACGCCGCATAGTCGGCCGGTTGCGGTCTCCCTGGCGGACCCCTCTGGGGGTCCTGTCCTTGCTAGCTTCTCCACTGTCTTACTGTGCCCGGCAGCCCCCTCTGGCACCCTGTTGGGTCTCTACCTCCCCTCGTTCTCTACGAACTTGGTGAGTGGTGCTGATCCACAGGATCGGGGGGTTGACCAGTTCACTCCTGCGAGTCAGCGGGTGACCCACTGTACGTGTGCTCGGACGGGCCGACACTTGGCCACGTTTACCCGTCGGCCGGGGTCAAGCCTGTACACACTGACTACTGAGTCTCCTCCGGTTGTTGCGTCTGGTCAGGTAGCTGCGTCGAGTCAGGTGTTTGCTGCAGCGTCCAGGTCTGGTCCTGAGTCTGCTCCCTGCTCGTATCGTCTCCTGTCCCACCAGACTCTCCTTTGGCACCACCGCCTTGGTCACCCCTCCCTGCCTCGTCTCCGAGGCATGGCCTCCCATGTCCTTGTCTCTGGTCTCCCCCGGTCCCTCCCTCCCCTCCCTCCGGGGCCTGCCCCTACCTGCGTTCCCTGCGTCGAGGGGCGGCAGCGCGCCGCCCCTCACTCCTCCGAGTTTCCTCCGACAGAGGCTCCCCTACAGACTCTTCACATGGACGTGTGGGGCCCCGCCCGCGTCCGTGGCCAGGGTCACGAGCGTTACTTCCTGTTGGTGGTTGACGACTACTTGCGTTACACCACGGTGTTCCCCTTGCGCAGCAAGGGTGACGTCACTGAGGTGTTGATCGACTGGATCCGCGCAGCTCGTCTCTAGCTCAGTGAGAGTTTCGGCTCGGATTTTCCTGTTCTGCGTCTGCACTCTGACAGAGGCGGGGAGTTTTCCCTTGCCCGTCTGGGAGCCTTCTGTCGTGCACAGGGCATCCGCCAGACCTTCACGCTTTTGGCCTCTCCACAGCAAAATGGGATTGCTGAGCGCCGCATTGGCATGGTCATGGACGTCGCTCGTACGTCCATGATGCATGCAGCTGCTCCCCATTTTCTGTGGCCGTTTGCGGTTCAGTACGCAGCGCATCAGCTCAACCTTCAGCCCCGGGTCTCCTTGCCAGAGACCTCCCCCACCTTGCGGTGGACGGGGAAGGTTGACGATGCGTCTGCGTTTCGGGTCTGGGGATCTCGGGCGTTTGTCCGCGACTTGTCTGCGGACAAGCTGTCCCCCCGTGCTGTTCCCTGCGTCTTCCTTGGCTTCCCCCCTGACGCGCGTGGTTGGCAGTTTTACCACCCCACCTCGCGCAGTGTTGTGTCCTCCCAGGACGTCACCTTTGATGAGTCGGTGCCTTACTACCGTCTCTTCCCCTACCGCACTGCGCCCCTCCCCCCGCCGCCGCTCTTCCTTGCGCCATGTCCTCCCCCGGTAGACCCTCTCCCCCCTCAGGGTCCTGCCCCGTCAGGTGTGTCCCAGGTAGACGCAGTCGAGCCTGTCGAGGTAGCTGTTGACTCTGGTGTTGCTAGGGGCGCTGAGCCTGTGGGTGCCGGGTCTGGGGGTGCTGAGCGTGGGGGTGCGGAACCTGGGGATGCTGAGTCTAGGGGTGCTGAGCCTAGGGCTGCTGAGTCTGGGGGTGCTGAGCCTGGGGGTGCTGAGCCTGGGGGTGCTGAGCCTGGGGGTTCGGAGCCTGGGTGTGCGGAGCCTGGGGGTGCTGGGTCTGCTCGTGTGGCCTCTGGCGGTGCTTCGTCAAGGCGGGAGCTACTCTCTCTGCAGGAGTTGCGCGAGAGGTTTGCCCGCCGCTGGAGCCGTGCTGCTGGAGCTGGAGGTACTACTGTTGCTACTGGTCCTGGAGGTGCTCGTACTGGCGGTACTAGAGCTGCTGGGACTCGGGGTGCTGCTGGGGCTGCTGGAGTTAGTCCTTCTTGAGGTAGTGTTGTAGCTGCTGGCGGTACTGGAGCTGACGGTCCTGCTAGAGTTGGTGCTGCTGGAGCTGCTGGAGCTGGAGCTGCTCGGGGTGTTGGCGCTGGTGGTTCTGCTGCCGCAGGTGCTTCTGAGGGTGCTGGAGTTGGCGCTGTTGGAGCTGGAGGTGCTGCTGGCGCTGGTGCTGCCGCTAGGGGTACTGGTGTTGTCCCTGCTGGTTCTGGAGGCGCTGTGCGGCCGAGGCCGTACTTCGTTCCGCTCCTTGAGCAGGTTCTTGGTTTCCCGCCCTCTACTGGTCCTGCTCCTCCCTTAAAGTTCCACAGCCTGTCCAGTCGCGGTCACAGTTACAACCCGCCTCCCCCCTACCGGCTCCTTCTCCCTACACTGGTCCTACTGGAGGTCTTGCTGAGCATCGTGAGCCTGCGTCTCGTCCTGCGTCGCCTGTTTGTGCTGCTCGCACTAGTGGTCGTGCTCCGCGTCCGTGTCCTCCTGCGGTCCCCGGCACACACCAGATGGCACTGCGTCCTTCCACTGCTCCTCTGCGTGTCCCGTTGCCGTCTCCTTCAGAGTCCTCTCTTCTTACTCTTGCTGACCCGGAGTCTGACTCTCTTCGTGCTGCCAGTCCTACTTTCACGCGTCTCCTGGCTACTGTTGTCAGTGACCCTTCTTTTGAGTCCACTGCTGCGTCTGCCTTAGTTGCTGAGCTTGTCGACTTTGCTGCTCGCTGTCGTCTAGACTACGCTGCTAGTCTTGTTGCTGAGTCTGAGTCTGTCTGTCCTCCGTCCATCGGGGGTGAGTGTGCTCTTAGCACGGACGTCCTTGAGGACAGGCAGGAGGAGTTCCAGTGTTTTGCTGCTGCTTTGCCTCATCTCGTGTCCACGCTGATTGCCCCTGAGGGAGACCCGGATGCACCAGACATCCCGACTCCTCGATCGTACGCTGAGGCGATCGAGGGTCCCTACTCCTCACAGTGGCACTCAGCCATGGACGCAGAGATGGCTTCCTTGAAGTCCACAGACACCTACGTCGACGAGGTTCCCCCACCTGGGGCGAACATCGTCAGTGGCATGTGGATTTTCAGGGTGAAGTGGCCGCCGGGATCTCCGCCTGTCTTCAAGGCGCGTTACGTGGCTCGAGGATTCAGTCAGCGGCAGGGAGTTGACTACTTTCAGACCTTCTCTCCCACCCCAAAGATGACCACTCTTCGCTGCTACTGCACATTGCCGCTCAGCGCGACTATGAGCTTCACTCTCTTGAATTCAGCACACCTTTCCTGCAGGGCAGCCTGCACGAGGAGATCTGGCTGCGCCGCCCACCTGGCTTCACTGGGTCGTTTCCTCCTGGTACCCAGTGGAGCCTCCGGCGGCCAGTCTATGGTCTCCGCTAGGCGCCCCGTGAGTGGCACGACACACTCAGGACTACACTTGCGGCTCTTGGGTTTGCTGCGTCTACTGCCGACCCGTCGCTTTTTCTGCACACCGACACCTTTTTGCCGCCGTTCTACATCCTCGTGTACGTCGACGACTTGGTCTTTGCCACTGCTGACACTGCTGGACTCGCCCACGTGAAGTCCGAGCTGCAGAAGAGACACACGTGCATAGACCTGGGTGAACTGCGCAGCTACCTTGGCTTGCAGATCACCCGGGACAGAGCACAGCGCACCATTACCCTGATTCAGTCACACATGGTGCAGCAGGTCCTTCAGCGCTTCGACTTCACGTACTCCTCGCCTCATGCCACTCCTCTGTCTACTCGTCACTCGCTCTCAGCTCTGCCTTCGGATGAGTCCGTAGAGCCGAGTGGCCCGTACCCAGAGCTTGTTGGCTGCCTCATGTACCTGATGACCTGCACACGACCTAACCTTGCATACCCTTTTAGCATCTTGGCACGCTATGTTGCTCCTGGGAGACACCGACCAGAGCACATGGCTGCAGCGAAGAGGGTGTTGCGCTACTTGTGCAGTACGTCGGGCATGGGGCTAGTGCTTGGAGGGCGACGTCGAGTGGTCCTCACAGGTCACGCAGACGCTTCTTGGGCTGACGACCAGGCTACGCAGCGGTCGTCACAGGGCTACACCTTCAGCCTTGGCTCCGGCTCTGTTTCGTGGTGGTCTACCCGCTCGTCTTCTGTTCTCGGCTCCAGCTGTGAGGCTGAGATCTATGCAGGGGCCAAGGCTGCACAGGAGCTACGCTGGCTCACCTACCTGCTGGCTGACCTAGGAGAGCCGCCTCGTTCTCCTCCAGTTCTGTACGTAGACAACAAGGCCATGCTGGCCTTGTGTCGGGAGCACAGACTGGAGCACAGAACGAAGCACATTGCTCTTCGCTACTTCCTTGCTCGTGAGCTGCAGCAGCGTGGTCAGCTGCGCCTTGCTTACGTGGCCTCTGAGGCCAACACTGCTGATATCTTTACCAAGGCACTTCCGCCTTGTGATCATCAGCGCTTCTGTACGATGCTAGGTCTTGTGCCTACTTGGCCTCACTTACTCACTTCTTGACCTTGCTTGTACTGTGATCTTTCTATACCTGCACTTGCATGTTTACCTTTATATATGATCTTGCATGTGAACTGGCCTTGTGGCCTTGCTCTTGTGCTCGGATTGTGTGGTGACGTTGTGATCCACCCTGAGCTTGCTTTGCTTTGCTTGACTGGTCTTGTGACCTCTTGTTCTCCCCCAATTTGCCCATGGGGGTGTGTCAAACTCATATCCTATAGTCTGTGTAGGCTGTAGTGGGGTAGACAATATGGGGTACAACACTTTTAGGTTTTCCTACTTGTACCCACGTGCTTGCTAGTTCATTCATTTTCCTTGCTCTTTCACACTAGCCACTGGAATATCTCCAGCAGCGCGTGAGTCTCGTCGCTGGCGCTTGACCTCATTAAAACCCCTTCCTTGAGCAACGTTAGGCCTCCTCGCCGACCATTCCTCCTTGTTACCATTTTGTTCGTCATTACGACGAGAGCCCGTCTCCCTCTCCACTCCACGCGAGGGAGCTTGGCTTTCCCTTTCCACTGTACGTTTTCCCTTAGAAACATCCTTGCTTTTAGAAACCATTGTTGAGTTCTTGAAAATACGACCTCTAGTGGAGCATAAGAATGGTTTCTAGGAGGACTCATAGCGTTGAAGTACTGGAAGGAACTGATGTGAACGAAGTAGCTTCTGCGTGACGCCCTTGCTAATCGCCCCTGCTAGCCGCTCTTTCTTTGAAGTGCTTCGGCTGCTCGAGGATATGTTTGTTCGGTTCTGAGAGTTTTTGTGGTTTACGACGTGGTCCATTGGAATAATAGATCGAACCTAGCCACAACT